CAGCCTTCTCTTTGATCCAACTCCTCCAGCTCAATCAGCGTTCAGTCCCTAAAACCATCCCAATGCTCTGGTCCTGTCTCAACATCTTCATTCATTTCTTTCTTTTAAATGGCTATAAGAAGTACTGTCCACACATTTCCAGCCTGCCCTTGTGCTCGCGGACAAAAACTGTATCTTAGTTATTTCTCTATTTTTCAGTATTGCCTGGCATGTATTTAATTCATCATCTTTCCATCTTGGAAAGATCTGTCTCCCTTTCAGGAGGCCCACTTTCCTCTATAATTACCCTTACTCTCCCTAACCCCCCATCTCTAAGTGATCCCATTATACAGGACTCTCCTCTCAGCTAGAGGTCACGGCTGGAAAGAAATCAGATAAACTCTCTGCGTGAAGATGCTAGCTTATGACAGCTTAAAGCATTTCCTCTCTCCAGCGAATGTGCAAAGGGACTCATTTAACACCAAATTAAGCCTTTATGAACTAAAGCAATACATTACTGATAAAATGCCAGGGACCTGGGAAGGAGAAGTACAGAAAGGGAGACTTTTTTAATAGACCTTTTTTAATATCGACCATCCTTAAGCTTCGCTAATCAGGCAGCAACTGATTCTGCGTATTTCTATCACTGAGCTTCCCTAAGGAATGGTGAGCATGTTCCCTCAGCCTACACCTTGAATAGGTCTGGGGTCGGATGGGGTGGGCACCCAGCTAGAAGTGTTTGAATGTCTCCCCTGAGTCTGAGAGCTTCCTGGTCTCCCCTGCAACATTGCCCATTTCTTGGGCATTTCATTCCTAATAAGAGACTCCTCACTGGAGGCAGGAAGCTGAGAGTCGACTTGACCGGTCTTTGGCATTTTCTAAGTCACTGCAGTTCCACAAAAAGGTGAGGGAAGATATAAATCAATAAAGATTTAGATTTCATATTCTTGCAATTCCCAGTCCCACACCGATGCTGAACAGCATAAAGTAGCAGGAAACGCTACAAAGTCAAAAGACTGGGGCTCTGAGAAACTTTCTTGCTAATAAATTAGAATCTTTGAGACATCTCTCAGCATGTCTGAATCTCCATTCCAAATTATCAAATGGAATAATGAATAGAGGTCCTATTTAACACACAAGGTTTTAATGAAGATCAAATGAGATACTAAATGTAAAAATGCTTTGAAAACCGTTGAATGCTATACAAAATGACAAATTTTAATCCTATCCTTCACAAAATATATGATGAAGTAAATGACATTGAAAAGCACTTGAAATATTTTTTGGTTCCCTTTTGTGTTGGACAATGATGGCTTTTTGTCAGTATTTTCACATCGTTTCTTTAATAATAGGACTCCCACACTTATCAAGGCATATGGCAACCAATAGTAAAGACACTTCCTTCTTTGCAGCTAGATGTGGCTAATATCTAGGGTCTAGCCCATGAGATGTGACTGTAAGCAACATATACAACCTCCCTTCACTTCCTCTGGCCTGTTGGAAATGTACATGAGATGGCAGGAACTGTGGCAGCCATCTTGGTCCAGGAAACAGAGGCTGCACATTAAGATGAAAGAGCAACAAGAGGGCCTGGGCTTCTTCAATGTCACACACCAGGGCTATCAAATCAGTTTTTCTTTCAATCACAGAGAAATAGCTTCAATCTTAAATCACTATTATTTTCTCCGTTAAAACCACCAAATGGGAATCTTACCCGATACATTCATATTTAATTTTAATGATCTATTCTAACCTCCTTACTAGATCTATCTTGGCAACTTTCTTCCCAATATTATTACTATCTCCACTCAGACTTTTGAAAAAGTTACTTTAAAGGCATGATCAAATGCTTCCTCGTATTTCAAACCTCTAATTGAACTGGTTCATGACAAAGTTACCTCTTTTAGATGAGAAGAAACAAGTCTTCATAATTTTAAATAAAACACATGATATCCCTCACTGCTATCTGACACTGATTGTTAATATTATCAATTATTGGAGCAAGTATCCAGATAATTCTTTGGGTAGTTTTCTCCAGGTCCCCCAAAGCTAGAAGGAGACAGATTAGTGTGTATCTTAGTCCTTAATAACATTTAAACACACACACACACACACACGTGCACGTACATGTACACAAAGACACTTCATCCCAATGTGATCACTGGCATTGCCATTGCCAAGAAAAGGAAAGGAATGTCTATCTGGGAACTATAGGAGTTGATAAGATGTAGGAAACCTGGGGATTATTTTTTCTTTTTGCCTCTTCTTGGGCTTTTGACACTAATGTATGTGGAGTTGAGTGGAGTTGATTTGGTTTGGGACTTAAGGCTGCTGACTTCCATGGATCTGCAGGCCTTCCATTGGCATCACTCCGCATGTAGGTGGGCAGTCAATTTTCAGAGAACTAACTGCTTCCCTACCTCTCCATTTCTATCAACATAGGACCCCAGGGATATGACAAGCTTGCTGCTTTAGAATGAAATGATATAAGGGAGGAAGCCCATGTCGGTCTTTTTAATTTGTTCCACACTGGCCTTGGGCCAACACGAAGAGCTGGTTTCTCCTCTGAACATCCCAATACCTGCTCTCCAGTGGGGCACCACACATCACACCTTCAGCAGAAGGCAGTGGAAAGCCTTTGATATAAATCCCGAGGTGCCTAAGGAACAGTGTGGAGTTAGCAGGGGCTGCCTCCAAGTCTCTGCTATGCGTGAATTCCCTGCCAAAAATGTAAAGTGAGTTAAAAAGAAACAATTCGAGTGCTTTCTAACTTGTTTTGATTTTCCACATGACGAAACACTGGGTTGTTATTGTGTGTGTATGCGTGTGTGTGTCACAGTGGCAGGCAGAAGGATAATTTGCAGCCCTGCTATTCTAGGCAGAATATTAGATCCTAAGAACAAAATGTGAAGGTAGAGAGAGAGAAGGCTGCTCATTAATCCCAGCCATAATTCTCCTTCCCTCTCTACGTTAGGAACAAATCATCGGAAAGGGAGAGACAAATACTTTGTGAGCCTAATCTCTACCAACTAACAGGCAATATTTACTTGGCCCCTTTTCAAACTCACCCTTGTGTATGGCTTAACAAGTAAAGCTGTCTGAAAAGTCATCACTCTCTCAGCTCATTGATGGGTCAGTGATGTGGCGGGGGTAGGACTGACCCGAGGCAGCACAGTGCTGGGTCACTGTTAGCTTGTTGCTGTCACAGTTGTGCCACCCACATGGGTTACAGACAAACACTTCTGGGTAATAACAGATGGCTTCTTGCATGATTGGCAGGAAGCTTTAGGCAGCATGAGCCCTTAACCCATATGGACAACACGATGGACTACAAAGAGCTTGCACTTTGCAATCAGCTACACCTAGCTTACAATCTGCGAGGAAGCCACTTACTGTCTGTGGGCTTCACCTTTCTCATCTAAGAAATTGGGACTAACTATACCTACTTTTTGTGCAGAATGTATTTAAGGTAAGAAAAGGGCCACCCTTAGATCGTGGCACAAGGGAGCCACCCAATAATGTCTTCCCTTGCAGCACAGATGAAGCCAAGGGCAGTGAGGGAAGTTCCTCCAGATCTCTGTTTGATGGAGACACTGCTCCCCATCCCGAGTCCCCACCATGCAGGTAGACAATCCATCAATGCTTGTGGGTTGACTGACTCAATCCCAGACAGAGTATTCTGGAGGCTGAGAAGTGGCTTACGTAAAGCTGGCTTAAACATCAAACATGAGGGTATCAATGAAATAGGCTTTTCAATCTGATTGAGGAGTTTCACTCATTTTGCCTTCAGCTCCTTGAAGGGATTGATCAGATCAATCTGTTGTGAAACTTTCCACCTGCTCTGATCCTCCTAACAAATGCTCAGCAAAGGCTCTCTCTTCCCCCTTCCATACTTCTTCCTTATTATTCAATGAATTTCTTGTGATCGTAGTTGTGATTGGGAAGGGGTGACACTAAGGGGCACTTGGCAATGCAGCGCATTTTTGGGTCCAGTGTTAAACACCCTAGTCTGATTTGCTGGCGGCAGCCACAGTCTAACAACACATAAAGATCATGTAGAAAGACAAAAAGTTATCAGGCTGGAGATATTGAAGATGTTGGGAGGTAGAGTCTGTCTCAACTCCTAGGATAACTGTCCCATTAACGGTGTTCCATGTCTCCTGGCCTACATCAGAGTTATTATTCATTTAGTGACCTTGAATGTATTTTGTATACATGCTACCTAAGCTCCTATTCTTCAGGTCAAGTTCTTTTTAAACACCTTTTCCTCTGTGGTAGCAGAATTCCAAGCCTGGCAGGACCATATCAGAGAAGAACACTGCACTAAAGAGGTTAAACTCTGGAATATTCCTTTAAAAACTCAGGTTCTGCAGCCAGTTTGGAAATGTTAGTCATATATTGATCCTCCTGATAATCTTTCTCTCTCTTAATTTGTTAGGCATTACTTACATTGAAAATAAAAATTGGTAAAGTGTGATTTCCCTAGGCATCAGCAAATAAGCAAATTTTGCCCTAAAGGCCCCCACCAATGTTCCTTTCTCAGGGGCCACAACCTCCCCTGTCCTTTATCCACTCCCTGTTCCCTAAAATATTAGAGGGCGGGGGCAGCATGGCTTAGGATGTAGGTCTCTAGCAATGGTCAATAGTAGGGTCGTTTTGTTTAAAAACAACTGCAACAACAGAACACATTACTTTTGTTTTAAATTGCAATCAAATAGAGTTCAAAGATGAGAGCTGACGGCCAAGTAGGGGTTGCCATAAAACCTCATCTAAGGGCTGAAATGTTCTTCCCTTTCTCTCTCTTTAAATATTCTCATGACAGAGACAGTATGTAATAGACGAATCTCAGCAGAACATCCAAGCCATAATTTGGGTTTTCATGTGTGCCTCTGTGGGTTCCAGTTACCCAAACTATAACCTCTGCTGCTGCAGAGATCGCAGGAAATGTTTCCTTTTTGATGCTTCTCTCCTTGACCTTCCAAAGTGGTCTGTATTGGATGTATTCCTACCCTATTTAATATCACTGATTGGAAAATGTCCAGAAAAACAAAAGAACAAGAGGGATTTTCTCCAGCTGGATAAAAATGAAGACAAAGAGGAAGCAGGTGTCCAAATCAAGCACATACAGCCAGATGTCCTCAGAATGGCCCAAGTGCTCCAAGGTAATGCAACAGAAGGTCAACGTGCCCGCTCATCCTCCCCCTCCCGAGAGCGAGCAGAGGCCAGGGGGTCACCATCTCACCACCTGGCTGTTGTAGTCCTCAGTGACAGTCCCCTCTGCGGCCCCATCCTGTTTTGGCCACCGGTGGCCCCTGTGCTCCCGCTGCAGCCTCCGCTCCTCCCGCCTCTTTTGGCGGTCCCTCTGGTGCTCTAGCTGCTTGGTGTGGTGGTAGCGCTGCTGGAAGAGATCTTTTGCATACTCGTAAAGCTGCACGTCCAGGAAGTTTAGCTCCTCGATGCGTTGGCGGGCCCCCTGGTTGATCTCCACGTTGGAAGCCCGCGTGATGTTGAACTGCGTGAAGGGGGAGATGAACTTGAGGTTGAATGTCCTCTCAAAGAGAAACTGTGTCTTCCTCTGGAACTCGGTGAGCCCGAAGAAGGCCATGTTCTTCAGGTTGTTCTTTGCGCTCTGCAACAGGATGGTGTTTCTTTCACTCTCGTTCATGAAAGTCAAGTTGTAGCAGCCCACCAGGCTGAGGTCGGCCAGCATGCGCACCTGGCGGTTGTTAGCCAAATTGTAGCTGCAATCCATAAACTCCCGCAAGCTGACTCCAGACCAGTCGTCCCCAGGGTAGCAGGTAGGCAGCTCATCGGGGGTGGGGCTTCTTCCGTCACACATATGGAGAGAGGTTTTCCACGTGGCCCCTCTTTGGACGTGTTTCCACTCACTCAGGTAACGCGACACTGGATCCCGCAACATTGTGATGTAATAGAAATTCCTGGAAGAAATCAGAGAAACAGTGTCAGTCGTCGACAACTCTAATGGGGAGATTCCGAACTTCCGTAATTTTATATTAGCATTGAGACAATGGGCTCTTCTGCTAAATGTTCATGTGAGATGGTTTGCCTGGATTTCTGTCTATCAGGTGCATGTGTTTCCATGAAGATGTATGGATTGGTTTTCAATACTGTTTGTTGGCCTTTTCCTCCCTGCTCCGGTGAGGGGAGGGTTGGGGTAGGAGGAGCAGATTATTCATTCACTCAGCAATTAATCACTGATAAATTACAACTGGCAGTAACAACATTTTACATGTAGGGAAAACACCATGATTTTAAAATTTATTACCCATCTGTTACTATTTTGTTTGATCCTTATAATAAATATTTGTAGTAGATGCGATACTATTTGATAGGGAAACATGCAAAGAGGTTAAATGATTTATGTAAGTCATGAAATTAGATTTGGCAACACTGAAACCCAATTTTCCTTCATCTTTTCTCCTTATACTGCTATTCCAGATTATGATTTAGGCAGGGCTGGGGAAGGATGGTTTGGGTTTGGAGACTAAGCTTAACTGAGCACCTACTATATGCTAGGAACTGTGCTACATGGTCTGTGGATGCTAGCACAGATAGTCCTTAACACAACTTTGTCAAGTGGGTTTTATCACTATTTTCTTTTCTTTCCTTTTTTTTTTTTAAATCTGAGGACACAGAGGATCAGAAAAGTAGGAAAGATAGCCCCAGATCCAAGAGCAAGTTAATACTTGACCTGCAATCTACTCTAGGCCTATTTGATTTCAAAACTCGTTTCTTTTCCTGAGCACCACATGGGTATTTACAGAACAAAACTGTAACATATTTATTGAGTGCCTATTAATTGTCAGGTGTTGTGGTTATTATAATCATAGATCTTATCTCATTCTAATGACATCTAATGGAATATTGAAAAGAAATATATTTTTAAGTGGTTATCTTCAGAATGACCACAGAGATCAGGAAACCTCTGGTTTAAAAGGGCAAGAGAAGCATAAAGAGGTAGAGAGAAAGTTGGAGACATTGAGAGATGAGCAGAATAACAGGAGGCACTGGAGGAAAATAAATATTGATTCAAAATAAGGAAAATTCTCAGAATTTGAACAGCCTACCAATGGAATGGGCTGCCTGTCCCAACCCTGTCACCAGGAGTGTTTGGGTAGAGCCTGGAGGTCCACTTGCCGCAGAACCAAACATCATAGCTTAGCCTAGCCTACCTTAAACGTGTTCAGAACACTTACATTAGCCTAGAATTGGGCGAAATTATCTAACACAAAGCCTATCGTATAATAGAGTGTTGAACATCTTGTGTAATTTACTGAATACTCTACTGAAAGTGAAAAACAGAATGGTTGCATCGGTACGGTTTCTACTGAATGTGTATCGCTTTCCCACCATCGTAAAGTTGAAAGATCGTAAGTTGAACCCTCCTAAGTCGGGGACTTCCTGCAAATGTAAATTGAAGAATGTTGTAAACTTGCATAAAGAACTGAAAAAAGAAAGTTGTAGGGGATGGAAAATCTCTCTGGCCCCTTTATTCTCACACCACTCATCTTCACTTCTTAGTTAAAGATTGAGGCTGTCACATCACGACAAGTTCTAAGTTAAAGAGAGCCGCTTTGTCACCCGACTCACCAAATTGGCTTTGGTAAGGAAATTTATTGTTGCTTTAAAAGGAATGGTGAGGAAAGAAGAGGGGAAAGAAAATTATGTCACATTTTGAGTGTGTGTGAGAACTAAGTGTCAGTAAGAAGCGCAATAGAGGGGCGAAATCAATGGAAAAGAGCACTTTTCCTGATTTCCAAGGAAGAGAACCTAGCCTGTAGAGGAGCTTGAGAAATACACCAGGAAACAATAAATTGTTGAAGGCCTATACTAGATTTAAAGGAGATACTTCATTCTTTCAAGTCTAACTAATCACTGACTATCCCATTTAGGGAAAATAATTTTTTAAATATTTAGTGGCAAAAGTTTTTAAGTTTTTTAAAAAATTGTGACAATAAAATTTTTATTTAGATAAACTTACTGAATCACTTGGATGCCAAGTGCTTTCTTGCAGCCTAGTGTCTAAGACCCTTGAGGTTGCAAACTTACTAGATGCCAGGCATGATGCTAAGGGTATAGCCCATTTCAAAATCCTGTGAGGTGAGTGTACGTTACAATTTCTTTTTTTCACTTAGTGTTAAATAAGCTAGGATTTGGGGAGATGAGATAAGCTACTCAAGGTCACATTGGTAGTAAATTACAGAACTTGGATTTAATCAGGTCTGGGTTACTTAAAAAAATAGTCACTACATTATAAAGAGAAAAATCTTATATTTTAAAGGAATAATTCAACCTAGCACTTGTTCACCTTGGCCAAGCTAACTGTATAGCAAAAATACAAAACTAGTAAAAACAATGAAAAAAAAAAAAAACAAGGAAATTATGGGTGCAATATTTTTTATTCTGCTTTTTAAAAGGAATTGATGAACTGTAATATTTAAAACTATGCATTTTCTATATTCTGTTATTTTGACTGTCTAGCCTTACCACTAGGTAACCAGACAGTTTTGAAATGTACTAAAGAAACTTAAAAATCTTATGTAATGCTCACTTCCCTTTAAATGAGGAGGAAGAATTTATTGAAACTGCTGCCAAGGACAGATGAGCCCGAGCTCTTGCTTTTGCCAATCACCGTCTTACACGACTCTGTTGTCTTCCACCGTGATGGAATGACAATTCCGTCAGTGGAAGAAAATTTCCCAAAAGGTCAATGGGGAAAGCAGAAAATGACTGACACTGCTTCTGGACTCCATAAGGAAATAGTGACGATAAAGTTTTTCTCAGAGTGGATGTTACTATTGTTGAATATTATATGACAGGTCATTATTAATCCTGCTTTAGTCCTATGCTGGGATTTATTCACATTTCAATTCTACCAGCAGAGACTGACTTTGTTTCACAAAACAATTGCGTAATAAATATATAAATATAATAATGATAGTATGATTTAGTGGGTTAAGGATGCCAAATGATTTAAGAATTTAAATCAGAAAGATCTTTGAATTGGATCAAATAAGACCACAAATGGAAAATTTCTAATTTCCCTGTTAATTGGACAAAACAAAAAACACAAAAGGATTTAAACAAAAAAGAAAAGCCGATGGCAATTAACTGATAAGTCTCAATCTCAATTATGTGTCTCAAATTTGACATGATCCAGATTTTTAAAATAATCATAACAGTTAGAGGATTTGGGAGCTGTGAATTACAAATGGTGACATAAAGACTTAACTGGAAACTGCTGGAATATGAATGAGAGGCTTTTGCCTCACTTGGGAAAATTGGCCATAGAGCTTCTGGTATCTCCGTTCCACTGGAAATCTACATAATCTCAAAGCCGACTGAAACTGGCTTAAGCTTAAAATGGTCTTGATTTCAAATTTAACTTTATTCAGTTTAGCATTACATTAAACGATGGCTAGCTACATTGAGGGTGATATTTACATGAGCAAAATTAAGTCCCAAATGTCTTCAAGTTCTACTAGCAAAAGGGGCCCACTTGAAACTAACACTGACGCCAAAACATAGAAATGCACTAGTGGAACATTTATGATGATGAAGTACAAAGTCGTCCCATTGTATGGTTGGGGATCCAACTGGCTAACAGCATTTGGGAATTGCATTGGTCAGACATATTCTCATGTATGTTTTGTTTGTTTAAATCCTGCAAAGCAGCCAAAATAGAAAGTTAGAAAAATAGTAAAACTAAACCAATAGGATTGAAGAACACCCAACTATTGAAGAAAAATCAACTGAAAATGTGATGAATTAAATCATTTTTCTTGTTCTCTATTTTCTTCCCTCTACTTTTGTTTGCATCTCTACTTTCAGGAAAAAAAACTACAAAAATTATGTCTGGAGAAATGATGTCTAACTATATTTTTGCACCCATTTACCATCTCCACTTTATCCCTCCCCTACCTGCTACCCTTCCCACCCTCTTATAACCATCATTCTATTCTCTGTCTCTATGAGATCTACTGCTTTTAATATTTAGCTCCCACATATGAATGAGAATGTATGAGATTTATCTTTCTGTGCTTGGTTTATCTCACTTAACATGTGGTTCTCCACTCCCATCCATTTTGTCACAATGGTAGGATTTCATTCTTCGGCTATATAATATTCCATCGTGTATATGTACCACCATTTCTTCATCCATTCATCTATCAATGGGCACTTAGTTTGATTCCATATCTTTGCTATTGTGATAGTGCTGCAGTAAACATGGGCGTTTAGATATCTTTTCTATATACTGATTTCCCCTCCTTTGGATATATTCCCATCACTGGGATTGCTGGGTCATATGATAGTTCTATTTTGAGTTTTTTGAAGAACCTCCATACTGTTCACCATAGTGGTTACCCTAATTTATATTCCTACCAACAGTGTACAAGGGTCCCCCTTTCTCCATATCCTCACTGACATTCATTATTGCCTGTCTTTTTGATAAAAGCCATTTTAACTGGGGTGAGATGATTTGCATTTCTCTGATGACTAATGATGTTGAGCATTTTTTCATACCAACCGTCATTGTTAACAAGCTTTGCTTCAGTTTCACGAATCTTCTCCCAACCACAAAACAATGAAAACTCATCGTCTTCTGCTCCTGTAACTCCCAACCCAGTCTCTAATGAGGGTACTCAAAAGATTCAGTACTACTGAAATCTGAAACTTTATTTTTTAGCTCTTATTTGTTCAACAGCACAATGGAGGGGGAAAATCGTTTTTAAATGGCTAAAACAAAGAATAGAGAAGCGCTAGCAGCACCCAAGGGCTACTGTGGCCACGACAGAGGACCTTTTTCGTTCCTTTTAACTCAATCTCCTAAGCCTAGACAGAGCATCACTTGTTCATATATTTGTCCTTATAGTTAACCTAAACTCTCCCCAGATATTGAGAAAATGAAGAACTAAAC